TATTTCATTTAAACCTGTAAATACGTGTGATGTAGTACTAATAAGAGTGTATATTTTGTGTATTTAAAGTGGAGAGTTCTATGAATGTTAATTAATAGGCATAAGCCTTCTTTAGGGGGCCCTTATATAGTCTCCATGTTAAGAAGACATTTGTGGGACCAGAGCAGTATTCCCTGCTCTGCAGCCACCCCGAGGTGTTCCCCGGTGTTACTGTGCTCTCAGATGGTCTTTACCTTAGGCCTCCTGTTGCCTCTTGATTTCTAATTAACTGCACCAATAATATAGTTTAGTTCAGTGTATAAACTTAACTGTTCTCTGAGCCAAGCAAGCTTATAGCTATTGACATTTAATTAACACAGGTCTCCTCCTGGCCATCTTGACCCACAAGTTTATGCATGAATGTAAGGTGACCACAGAAACTGAATGGTGCTGAAAAGGTCTGGACCTGATGAACGAACCCCTAATAAGAATCAACTAGATCCCTTTCTATGACACAGTCCCAAACTGAGGAGGTAACTGCTGGAGGTAGAATCTACACTGAGAGACAGGTATATAGGGCCAAGGAAAGAAATTGTCAGATAACGAATGGGGGAAAGAAGCAGAAGAGACATAGCTCAGAAAATAGCCATATTTTTGAATGCTTCATGCTAAGATCAGAAGAGATAACCCTAGAGCCATGAAGCCAGGAAAGCTTTCTTGGCCATTCCGTCTATTTTTTTTCACATGAGCAGCAAGATAGGACTGTGGTCACATTCTATGGTTATTATTTTAAAGTAAAAGAGGATAATGAAGAGAATAAGTTCTTCTGGAAAAGAAAGAATACTCACAAAGCATATGAAAAATTTAACCTAATATTTTATTTTTATTTATTTATTTTTTTAAGATGGGGTTTCACCATGTTGGTCAGGCTGGTCTTGAACTCCCGACCCCAGGTGATTCGCCCACCTTGGCCTCCAAAGTGCTTGGGTTACAGGCATGAGCCACCATGCCTGGCCTAACCTAATATTTTAAAATGACAAAAAGTTAAGAAAACAATTTAAGCTATGATCAAACAGCATAGAATAATAACAAAACAAAGCAAACAAAAAGGATGTACTTAGTAAATTTATGAGCAGAAGTTAATAAATTAGAATGAAAACCAGTAGTTTTTTTTTTTTTTTTGGGACAGAGTTTCGCTCTTGTTACCCAGGCTGGAGTGCAATGGCGCGATCTCGGCTCACCGCAACCTCCGCCTCCTGGGTTCAGGCAATTCTCCTGCCTCAGCTTCCTGAGTAGCTGGGATTACAGGCATGCGCCACCATGCCCGGCTAATGTTTTGTATTTTTAGTAGAGACGGGGTTTCACTGTGTTGACCAGGATGGTCTCAATCTCTTGACCTCGTCATCCACCCGCCTTGGCCTCCCAAAGTGCTGGGATTACAGGCTTGAGCCACCGCGCCCGGCCTGAAAACCAGTAGTTTTTTAAAAAAGATTAACAACATATATATCATTGACCAAACCAATTAATAATAAAAAGGAAAGGAAAAAATGTATATGCTGAGGGTGAAATAACTATTAAAAAGAAGAAATTAAAATAATAGGAAATTCACGTATATAATTTTATGAAAATAAATATAAAAACCAAGATGAAATGGAAAATTTTCTAGAAAAGTACTACCTAACAAAATTAATTCCAGAGAGTCAAAAAATCTGAGACTTTTTGGAGTTTATCTATCCTACCAAGAAACATAAGGACCAAATCTTTTCAGAGTATAATTCTATTAGTATTTTTTCAGTGAAAGGTTTTCCTTAGACCTGGAGCTGACTTCTAATGGTGACCGAGCAAACTGGGCTTTTAAATAGACATTATTTATTTTAAACCCTAGCCAAGAATGATTAGATATTAAAGTTGAAGCATTTGACAGCATAATTATAAAAAGATTTCTTCATATCACCTATCAAATCAACAAAGGCAAAAGCAAGAAAACCATAAAAACCAAACTCCAGATCATTTAGGAACAAGATAGAGGAAAGCAGTTTGTCTTTCCTAAAAGAACATTTAAGAATGGGGTAGAGAAAAACAAATCCTTCTCTTATAAGAGCATCAGAGTTCAATCATTTCAGCAAATTTGTACTGAGTTTGTACTAAATCTAGATGCTGGGAATGCAAGGATGACAGTACACAGAGCCAGTGTCTTCACTGCCAAGAAATTTAAGAACTCTTTAAAGAGAATGCTCAAGTTGGGAAAGTAATCATTTTGACTAGATGGAGGAGATTTGGTCATTTTTTTGGAAATTATATTAATACTTGAAAAAGCTTACTCTTGATATTTGTTAGTCATTATCAATTACTTATGCTTTTCTTTTCACTTTTGTTCAACTTTGTGGACCAGATTTATTTCATTTTTCTAATTAGTAATGTTTTGGTATCTTTTAGTTTTTGAATACTCATGCAATAGAATAAGAACTCCAAAGCCATTTTAGGTAAAAACAAATTAATACATACTCTGCTCATACTCTAGGACTCTTTTTGGTGATCCAGGAGCCAATTTTACTTTATTTAGGGTTAGCTTAAAAGTAGTTCATTTTAGAGCACACGGGCAGAGTATTTCTCTTTAGGTCAAAAGGATGATAAGGAAAATGTTATAGTCTCTGAGCAGAGAGGAAGATGTACTTTCTTCTCAGAAAACCTTAGCAAAGTTAGAATGGTGGTGGCGTTTTGAACAAGAATTTTTCAGTAGTACTTCAGAGTCTTCTGGAATAATATAATCTACTGGTTGGTACCTCTGGCTGAAACAAGCTTATCTAATTACTTCCTTTTGCAAATGTAACATGTCTGTCTTTTCCCTCTCTTCAGCATAATTCCCCATCTAGTGATGATAGTTCGGACTACAGCCTTGATTCAGATGTTGAACATGCAGAAAGTTTCCATAAAAAAAGAACTGGTTTCTACAGGGATTATGACATTCCATTTACTCAGGTATTGACATTTTGTTGTTTTGTGATAAAACATAGATAGCATAAAATGTACCATTTAAACTCTTTTAACTGTACAATTCAGTGGTATTAAGTATATTCACAGTGTTGTTCAATCATCACCACTTATCCATTTCTAGAAATTCTTGATCATTCCAAACAGAAACTCAGCACCCATTAAGCAATAATACCTTATTTTCCCCTGCCCCCAGCCCCTGGAAATCACTATTCTATTTTCTGTTTCTGTGGATTTGCCTATTCTAGGTATTTCACATAAGTGGAATCATATAGTATCGGTCCTTTCGTATCTGGCTTATTTCACTTAGCATAATATTTTTAAAGTTCATCCAAGTTGTAGCATGTGTCAGAATTTCATTCCTTTTAAAGGCTGAATAATATTCCATTATATGTATACATCACATTTTGTTTATCCATTCATATATTGATGGACATGTGGATGTCCATCAAAAAAAGCTTCTGCCTTTTGCTATTGTGAATCATGCTGCTTATGAACATGGGTATACAAATATCTTTTCAAGACTTCTTTCAGTTTATTGGGGTATATATTTAGAAGTAGAATTGCTAGATCATATGGTGATTCTATGTCCAACGAACCATGAAACTGAGGAACCATGTAACTGTTTTCCATAGTGGCTGCACTATTTTACATTCACACTAGTAATGCCTGAGGGTTTCAATTTGTCTACATCCTTGCCAACACGGTTTTTTTTTTCTTTTGGAAACAGCAAATAGTTATGAAGTGAGACTTCATTGTGGTTTTGAGTATTGCCCTTTTAAGCGAAAAAATAAACTTTCAATTTTATTCTTTCTGGTATTTTTTCAGACATATGCTATAAATTTGAAACCTTTGCATATAAAGAATACATAATGTATTCATTTGCTAGAGCTAACATAACAAAATTCCATAGACTGGGTGGCTTAAGCAATAGAAATGTATTTTCTCACAGTCTGAAGTCTAGAAGCCCAATATCAAGGTGCCAGCAGCGTTTGTTCCTTTTGAGGACCATAAGGGAAGGATCTGTGCTAGGCTTCTCTCCTTGATTTGTCGATGGCCTCCTTCTCACTGCTTTGTCCTTACATGGTCATCCCTCTGCGCACAGGCTCCCCTGGTGTCTCTCTGTTTCCAAATTTACTTTTATTGTAAGGACACCAGTCAAACTGAATTAGAGACTACTTTAACAGCCTCATTTTAATTTAATCGCCTCTTTAAAGGCCCTATCTCCAGATATACAGTATTTTGTTCTAGGCAAGTAATGATGTTCTCAGAGGCACTAGGAAGTATTCAGATCAGTGTGCACTTATCTGAAAAGACCCAGAGTTTGAGTTCTCATTTTTGCCAGTTTGTCACTGTTCTGGTCTGCAAGAGCGCTATTCTTTCTCCTAACTTGGCGTTGCTAATCTCTTGTGAGTTTAGAAACCAAAATACTATTTTTGTTAGAGTTATTTCTATTGTCTGACTCACTGTTGCCGCCTTTATAGTTGAGATTGCTAAGTGACGATTAAATAAATGAGGTTTTATTAAAATATCTTCTCTTAAAATTTGAAAAGAATTCTACACTAGTTAATAATTTTAACTAGTTAGGTAAATATCAGAATGTTTATATAGTCAATATAGCTAGTGATTTTAGAGTCAGTGCTTGTTGCTGTTTCTCAGAACATTTTTATAACTATTCATTAAAAGTATTTTTACCACAAATGACAAAACTTTTAATTCAGCAACACTGATATGGTACCTGCATTTCATCATTTGCAGTTAGATTTATTCTTTAAAAATATTCAAAAGTCAAAAAGACTTAGAATGAATGAAAAGATGCTCAGGATAGGCATTATTATTTCATGTAAGGAGACATTTGAAAATGTCAAGGTTCTGGATTCGTAAGTTGTCACTGAAAGTAACCCCAAAGAGGAAGTTCCAAATATTTAAAATAGTGGCAGCATTATTGTAATAAGTATATAGGCTTCTCTGTGGCCACTGTGGGAGACAAAATCAATTTGTATGTATAAACAATAGTACATCTGAAACAGCTTATGTTGGGAAAGAAAGAAAGGAAAAAACAAACGAAAACAAAAAAATAGTACAGTTGTTTTAGGTATCTCACATTTTTAAAACATTATGCAGTTATTTATTGTTAATAAATATGTATCATTAATACGACGTTGACTATCATATGCCCCTATAGACGTCCTGTTATTATTTTTGCTTCAAAAAATCAGGTAAAGAAATTAATAAAAAGGATAGTCTTTTATATTTATCTACATTTCATTTTCAGTGTTCACTTTTTTGTATAAATCTGAGTTTCAATATGATACCATTTTCTTTTAACCAGATGGACTGCATCGTTTAGCCTTTGTTTAGCATCTCTTATAGCACAATTTGCTATCAGTAAATTCTCTCAGCTTTTATTTGTTGGGCTAATGTGTTAATTTTACCCTCATTTTTAATAACTTTTTATTTTGTCATAATTTCAGGCTTACAAAAAAGTTGCAAGAATGTTACAAAGAACTCTTGTATATCTTTCATCCAGATTTCCCAGTGAACATTATACTAGATATGCTTAACATAATCTTTTCTTCTCTAGTCTTCTCTTCCTTTCAGAGAGATCTAATTTGCCTTTTTAAAAAATTTATTTTTATTTTTTAGTGACAGGGTCTTGCTCTGTCACCCAGGCTTGGGTGTAATTTGCCTTTACCCGTCTATTAAGTATTTTTCATACCTAGACATCTGATTCTTTTAAAATCTTCTAAATCATTTTTATAGGATCAACTTCCCTGGTGAAATTCTCATACTGTCTTTTACTTGAAAATAGCAGACTTCAGATATAAATAAATTTCTGTATCTGAAGTCTGTATTTCTTTTTTTTTTTTTTTGAGATAGAGTCTTACTCTGTCACCCAGGCTGGAGTGCAGTGGCGTGATCTTGGCTCGCTGCAACCTCTGCTTCCGGAGTTCAAGCGATTCTCTTGCCTCAGCCTCCGGAGTAGCTGGGACTATAGGCATGTGCCACCATGCCTGCCTAATTTTTGTATTTTTAATAGAGACAGGGGGTTTCACCATGTTGGCCAGGCTGGTCTTGAACTCCTGACCTCAGGCGATCCACCTACCTCAGCCTCCCAAAGTGCTGAGATTATAGGCTTGAACCACCATGCGTGGGCTTTTGAAGTCTGTATTTCTATTGCCTGTTATTTTTTGCTGGTTCTCTTTCGTGTGATCTAATCTCTTCTTAGGCCTATTTTTGTTTTCAGTTTTTTTCTATTCTGTGCTGAGCATTGTATTTGCAAAATATAGTGCATTTTGTAGAAATATTTTTAGGCCTCGGATGATGTTTTTTTCACTCAAAAAAGGTTTTTACTTCTGCCAGATTTCTGGTTACCCTTACAAACTTTATTCTAATTTCAGGATTTGAGACTTCTGGGCTACCCAGATTCCTGAAGCCTGGGCTGCAGTCTCTGAGATCCCCTTATAATTGAGGATGGGGATTACTAAGCTTCCACCTTTTCCAGACTCTGAACACCACCTTTTGTTTACATAGACAACAGAGACAGTCAAAAGTGCTGTTGGATCTTTCAGCTGATTGTTCCTGATGGGGTTATACTCTTGGAGCAAATGCAGCTCCAAATGTTGCCCACTTCTTAGGATTTTCGTCTACTCCATGGGTATTGGTCTAGTAATCCTTCACTAATTTGTTAGCTGTCTGATGTCTACAAACAGATTTAAGAAAATATTTTGTCTATCTTTTCTACTTTTTTAAGCGGGACAATTAGTCTGAATTACCCAGTCTGCTATTATAAGAAGAGAAAGTTCAATACCATTTCTTCCATATATATATTTTAGAGTTGACTCACTGAGAATTAGATTATAACCTAACAACATCTAAAAGTCTCATTTTCTTAGATAACAGGTATCTGCTATATAACTTCTACAGTTGCAGGGCAAAAATAGAATACACTGTTAACATCTAGCAGTTAAATTAGAGGGCTTAATATGTAGCTACCTTTTTCCTCACCTTTTTTCAGGGCCTCCTATTTCTTTATTTGTTTTCAGTGATTGCTGGAGGCCCATTTTTGTTTTACAGAAACTAGATCTGTCACATTCTAGCAGTTTGTGTAGCCTAATAATCAGTTGGTAAAGTGATTAGAAAAGCTATCTATTCTCAAAAAAAGAAAAAAGAAAAGCTATCTATTTTGGTGAAATTTATTCTCTTTTTCATGTATCTTCTCTTGGTTGGGCTTGAAAAAATGCTTGCTAGACTCTTGCGCCTGAGTGCATTTTGTTCATCCCAGTGATGAGTATGTGAACCATAAGGAGATATTCTAGAAAAGTGGGGCTGCTCTGTAACCCTTTATTCATTTCATGCTTCCTGGAAAACTCGTACCACATGGGTGGCACTCTGACTCAAATGTGAAAGACCTTAGCAGTCCACATTAGAAGTCTTTAACCACAGAAGCAGCCCTGGGCTAGAATGTGCATCCTTAGGAGGATATTAAGAATATTTACAATTGGGAAACTAGGGAGGAGGTAAATGAAAGTTTAGGTATAATTCTACTTAAAAAAGTAGGAACACAGATTATTTTTATAAACCCATGCAAATCAGAGAACTGAATTAATAGTAAGAATTTAAAACTTCCTTTTTTTTTTTTTTCTTTGAGCTGGAGTTTTGCTCTTGTTGCCCATGCTGGAGTGCAATGGCCCAATCTCGGCTCACCACAACCTCCACCTCCGAGGTTCAAGCGATTCTCCTGCCTCAGCCTCCTGAGTAGCTGGGATTACACACATGCATCACTACACCTGGCTAATTTTTTTGTAGTTTTAGTAGAGATGGGGTTTCTCCATGTTGGTCAGCCTGGTCTGGATCTCCTGACCTCAGGTGATCTCCCAAAGTGCTGGGATTACAGGCGTGAGCCACTGTGCCCAGCCAGCATTTAAAACTTCTATAAGAAGCATCTAATCTCCAGAGAAAAATTTATACTCATCTATTAACAGAGTAGTCCTCAATCATAAAGCATTGAAATGTATCAAGTATCAATATAACCACAGTTTTAATAAAAGAAAATGTAAGCATCATTTAGTTAATCTTCAACTAATCTATGCAATTATTTTTTGCTTTAGTTTTCATAGTGGCTTTAAAAAAATGTCAGAAACACTGTGTTTTGGCTAGAATTGTAAATTCACTTCTGAACTTCTGAAGTGCTAGACTAAGGACGGAGTTTATAAACTTTTAAAAGGTAGTACTTAAAACAAATAAAAAATATAATACAGTGTTTTTAAAATTTAAAATTGATAAATAAATTGGTTTTCTTGATTAGTTATGTACTTTTTCTCAATTTTATAATTAGAAAGATCTAATACTTTGCTGCATTTAATTAAATGCATAGTCTCATAGTGCTATTTTGCCTGAGTAGTATTTTATTTATATATTTTGAGACAGAGTCTCAGTCTGTCATCCAGGCTAGAGTGCAGTGGTGCAATTTTGGCTCACTGCAACCTCCTTTTGCCTCCTAAATTCAAGCAGTTTTCCTCCCTCAGCCTGCTGAGTAGCTGGGACTCAGGCGCACACCACCACATTCAACTAGTTTTTGTATTTTTTGGTAGAGACAGGGTGTTGGCCAGGCTCTTCTCAAACTCGTGACCTCAAGTAATCCACCTTCCTTGGCCTCCCAAAGTGGTGGGATTACAGGCGTGAGCCACCGTGCCTGGCCAGAACAGCATTTTCATATCACATTTAAAAGGCACTAAGCTGGCCAGGTGCTGTGGCTCATGCCTGTAATCCCAGCACTTTGGGAGACTGAGGTGGTCAGATCACGAGGTCAGGAGTTCCAGACCAGCCTGGCCAACATAGTGAAACCCATCTCTACTAAAAATACAAAAATTAGCTGGGCGTGGTGGCGCGTGCCTCTAGTCCAAGTTACTCAGGAGGCTGAGGCAGGAGAATCGTTTGAATCTGAGAAACAGAGGTTGTGGTAAGCTAAGATTGTGCCATTGCACTCCAGCCTGGGCAACAGAATGAGACTCCCTCTTAGAAAAACAATGCACTAAGCTAAAGATGAATTATGGTTTGGATTTTTCTAGATCCTTAAGTTGTAATTATGTGCAAATTTTCATCCTTTATTATAAAAAATTTCAGAGGATACTGTAGAACTAATGAAAATACTTCAGTGAATACAGACAAATCTGAATACTGTCATTAAATAAACTTCTAGTACTAAAGTGTATTCTTTGCTTTCATATGCTTTAATAAGGAAGCAATAAAATTAAAAATGTTTATTGTAATAAACAGTTTCTAATGAGCAATTTATTCACTAGATGTCTTTCACTATTAGGGAAAGCGATATACACAGTTTCTTTTTACAAAATTTTCCACATGTTCAGTTTTTTATTAAATATAATGTTATTTGAGAATTTTCCAGGGTTAGGAGAAATCACATGTTTTTCCACACTCCCTGACTCCAAGCTATTTCTATCTTTTCTTTATTTTCAAAAGGCCTTTCATTTTCTGGAGGAAGAATTTATGTATGATGGTATATATTTTTTACTTTTTTCTGTGTGTAAGATATTGAGATACAGAACATAGAAAACAAAGGCTAAAGCATAAAGATTACAAGATTTAATTATTTCAGGGTAACATTTAGGCTTTTGAACTTAGTATTAAGTAGTATCATAGGTAAGTACTAATCAAGTCAGAACTAATAACTATCTTTTCTCCTTCTTTCTCCAAACTTGTTGAAGGAGAAAAGGATGTCCTGTGCTACTGTTAATTGCTATATATAATTGAAAAATCCTGATAATGATTGTCCATTTTCACTTAGCGTGGACATATATCAGGAAGCTACATGACATCAAAGAAGGGTCAACATAACAAAAAATTTAAAAGTAAAGAATATGACGAGTACAGTACTACCTACAGTGATGACAACTTCGGTAACTACAGTGATGACAACTTTGGTAACTACGGTCAGGAAACAGAGGAAGATTTTGCCAATCAGCTGAAACAGTACAGACAAGCTAAAGAAGCCTCAAATACTGCTTTAGGGTCATCATTTTCTAAAGAATCAGGGAAAAAACAGAGAATGAAAGGAGTTCAGCAAGGTAAGTTTGAAATTACAGCCTGTCTTAGAATATGAGAACCTTATTAAAACAGGAAGCTATGGAGTAAATACTTAGAAACTTCTTATCCCCTCTCAAGATTAGCTTATTCTTGTAGAACCTAAATTCATTTTCTTTTATTTTGTAGACCTTGAGAACAAAATCTACAAATATTTCAATCTGTATGATATATGAATATTTTAGTTGGAAAGACATTCTAATAATTTAAAAATACATAAAAATTTAATACAACTTGTTATGATATCAGTATACAGTTGTCTTGGCCACTGTATGTATTGCTTTAAATTTAGAGCAGTAAGAAGAGAATTCTGGGAAGCTATTCTTTTATTAGGCTTTAAAATACAACAGTCATTTTTGCTAAGCACATGTGCATGGACTATTAACATCCTTTGAAGTTGGAGATAGAAACATAATCTAAAGACATTTTTACACTGATTACCTGTTTGTCTGCAGTATTGAGTTAAATGGTCCTTGGAGAGACCAGGACAAGTTGCTAGCTGTTGACAATAAGTGAAGAAACTATGGGTCATGTAAGGCTCAAATCAGCCTTAACTATTGGCTAGTCAGTATGTCTGCTTCAGGAAAAGTGGAGCAATATGAGACTGAAATGAAGTAGTGAGGAGCCACACTCTATGAAACTACCTTTTAATTATCGTTGCATACAGGAATCAGTTATGAGTAAATTTGGTTATTTCTATGACTTTATTTTTTTCTTGATTTTCTAGCAAAATGTCTGAAAAATATTAACGTAGGCTTTAGCTGAAGTAAAGGGAAAGGAATTTTTCTACACATATGTTGTTGCACTGAGCAAGTTTGCTCCTGTAGTCTAGATGTTGTGGTATCAGGGATCATCCCACTTGGAGAATAACGGTAATGTAGAGAAGTCTTGCTCATCCTTTCCTACCTGGGCCTTTTCTTTTCAAGCTGCTACTTGTTTGTCCTCTTAAAGAACTGAGTATTGGCCAGGCCAAGTTGTTCACATCTAAAGTCCCAGCTACTCAGGAAGCTGAGGAGGGAGGATTGCTTCAGCCCAGCCAGGAGTTTGAGGTTACAGCGAGCTATGATCTCATCACTGTACTCCAGCCTGGGTGATAGAGTGAGACCCTGTCTCTAAAAAGAAAAACATGATTTTTGTAATTTGGGTATCTTTTTACATACTTTTAAATGCCAAGTTTTTCAAAATAAAAAAAAGTATAATTTTTCCTGGAGATACATGTGTATATATCTACTCAAAATTATCAGTGGAAATTTGATTTGCTATTAATTAACCACTGATATCTACAATGTCTTCCTTAAATAGGAATGTAATATTTGATTCTCTTAAAAATAAAAAGTCTTGTTAATGATCTTATGATAAGGAAAATTGAAAAGAATAAAACCTGATTTTGCTTCTTTAGCCATGTGGATCCTGGTTCCTTGCCTTCCTATGTTGCTAACGTCCCTTAAGAAACAGTACCAAGGAGATGTATTAAGATTTAATTTGTTTTCATTGAATCTAGAAGGAAAAAAAAGAATGCACTGTATCTTATAGACTATTAAAATATGCTGTTCCTTATAAACTAATAAATTGACAGGTATGCTGTTTTTCTTTTAAATTTAAGTACGTTTTAACTTTTCTAGGTATTGAACAGAGGGTTAAAAGTTTTAATGTTGGTCGTGGACGTGGCTTGCCGAAGAAAATCAAACGAAAAGACCGTGGGGGAAGAACCAATAAAGGGCCTAATGTTTTTTCAGTATCGGATGACTTTCAAGAGGTACTGAGAATTTAGATATAAGGAAGGAGAAGCTTTTTCATCTTTTAATTGATTTGGTGGCAAAGCATTGTGATTTTAATCATTCATTACTAGTAAATGAAAAATTACCAGCTCAGATAAAATGAGGCATCTGTAACCTCCAAAAAATAGTTGTTTATTAGTTATGATACTAGTATAGAAGTACAAATTTAGGTGACTTTGAAATAAAATTGATGTGTTTGAAAGAACCTCAAAATAAAGTTGATAAGTTTGAAAGTAAAAATATATCCTCTATTAGTCTTCTTTTGTGCTTTTCTTTTCTAAGAGTCATCTTCCCCAGATGTAATTGGCAATAAAATGTTAATAGCTCAATAAGTAGCGGGGACAAAAAGGGAGGCAGTGGTAAATTAACTTACTTGTTAGAGTTGAAAGCATTAAAGAGAAGAAAGGGGGATATAAATGGTTGGAAAGGCGAACTTATATATATTACATGTGGTAGATACTCAATAAATTTATGTTAAATTGAATTGAACGCCAAACACGAACATTTTAACCTTGTAGCGACTCCCTAAATTACAGTGATCCAATTCCTGTATTCTACTGCTGTTCCAGTAAGATTTGATTGAATTATAGAGGCAAAGGTTTGTCATTAAATGCTGCAGCTTTGGCCAGATGCAGTGGCTCATGCCTGTATTCCCAGCACTTTGGGAGGCCGAGTTGGGCAGATCACTTGAGGTCAGGAGTTCAAGACCAGCCTGGCCAACATGGAGAAACCACGTCTCTACAAAAATACAAAAATTTGCCAGACATGGTGGTGCATGTCTGTAGTCCCAGGTACTTCGGAGGCTGAGGCAGAAGAATCGCTTGAACCCAGTAGGCGGAGGTTGCAGTGAGCCGAGATATGGCTCCACTATACTCCAGCCTGGGTAACAGAGTGAGATTCCATCTCAAAAAATAATAGTAATAAAAATAAAGCTGCAACTTTGAGTGAGAGCTAAGTATATAGCTAAGCTGCATACTATAATTTGAAAAGACGTGGTTTTCTGATCTCTCAGTTTAAAGATAATGGGCAGAGATTTCTTAATATGCACTCCTTAGTATGCTGTTTAAGGAGATGTTAACAGGTGTGACTTAAAGAAGTTAGGCCCAAATAAATTTGCAAAACCCAGCATATGCCATCTGCTTTTGGAGATTCTCTGTTAACATTAATGTAGTAAAGCTTCTAAACAGCTTAGGCAAAAAGAAGCCTATTTTACTTTGTTTATCCCATCATTGACTCAACCACAACCTATTTTTTCCCTACACACCTACTGACATTCACTGAGCCACTCACTGTTCCATGGAACAACAGCTTTGGAATTATTATAGTTACTATTTTAGAATTTTGGGGTGACTAAAAACCTACCCTGTCATCTTCTTAGATGTAGACCTTTAGAATATGCTGATTTTCATAACCCAAACTAGTACAAATGCTTTCTAAGTAGGCCTGCTCCTATACCCAGTTCTTATATCCTATACCTTCAAAAAATTAGCTTCCAGGAAAGTGTGACTTTCAGCAAGTCATACCTGTCTCTGGGCCTCAGTTTGCTTAATCTGCAAAATGAGGGCATAGTATTAAGGGTCCCTTCAAGTACAGCATTTTAGATGTCTGTAGACCTGGGCTATACCTAAAAGATAACCATGTAACAGAAAAATTGAGATAAAAATACATTATTAATCATGTCAGTTTATTGGCTATCATGAGAGACATTTCTTACGATTCCAGAAGCAACTAGGAGTACACCAGAATCCAAGGAAGCAGTTCATGTTCAGGAATAGTCTGTAGGTGGCCCATCCAGAATAGCGTGAACATGCAGGCCAGAGTGGCCAACATAGATCCATCTCCATCCTAGGCCTTTCAGAGACTATGAGAGTCTCCAAAGCCAAATCAGTTCAGGAGTACCTTCAGATTCATCATAATTTTTTTTTGAAAAATCAAGAGTTGTCACAGAAGGAAGCAAACTTCCACTGAATTTTAAAGCCTACTTCATTTTATTGGCCATAATACTCTTAAATTATTTTAGTGTTTACCTATTACAGTTTTTGTAATAAATACTCTTTTCCTGGTAGATCCTTACATTTCCTCTACGTGATACATATATTAATATATTACGCTTTTGCCTCTATCAATATGTCTTCTAAAGTAAATTTTAAAACAAGCAAGTACAGAAGGGTAGCTTGGTTTTTTTCTCCCTCCATCCTTGTAATGAAAAGAATATGGAGTTGCAAGTCACAGTTCCTGAGTTCTGTCAGTCTGGCAACTCACCATGTGACCTTTGGCAAGGCACTGTCTTCTCTAATCATTCATTTTCATGTTTGTCCAATGAGGGTGATGAACTACATTACTTCCATGGTTCTTCTAGCTCCTATATTACTAGAGATTTTATGGGTAGAAAACATTTGTGAGTCTTCTTTAGGCTCAAACTTAAAAGGTTTATCTTCTAGGCACTAATTTTGCCCTAAAAATTTATTTGTTAAAAGTGCTTTAGATTTTCTATAGTACCTTGATTATAGTCAGGTTTCCCATAGCTGTGGACACTGTGATACTTTGTACTCATTTAAATGAAACTAAACTAAAAAACAAAACACCTCTCCCCCTGCAATCCTCTATTAAATACCCCCCCCCCCACAATTCTCTATTAAAACAGTGAAACATTATTTGAAAGTAATGTATACAGAAAGATTAAGTTATTAATAAAACACAAGTACAACTTGCATTTTTCGGGGGGGGGGGTGTGTGTGATTACCTAACTCTTTTACTTATTAATTTCAGAATTATATTCGTCAGGTTGGCTCATTGATTTTGCATAATGCACTCTCTTTGGCTGTTTTATTTTATTTTGTAACAGCCACGATTCCTTGTACAGAATGCCTATGTGAGCTGGTCATTATATCCGCTTATTCTAAACAAATCTGTAAACATAAAAAATGTTTGTGAATCAAATTTGTATAGATTTGAGACACTTTAAATAATTCTATCAGAGTATATTATAACTAATTTCATTGTGTTTTCCTGGGGTAAATTAGGCATATTATATTTTTTAATGAACCTCTAGGATTATCTGTTTACTTGGTATTCTTGTACCTTTTTCAGAATTCTTACGGTAAAATGTGGTTTTAGCTGTGAGTGCTGAGGATCAGATTTCAATGTAGACATCTATTGCCTCAATATTTGCTGTGAGGCAAGTTCCTGTTTTCATTGAACTTTATGCTCCATCTTTTAGCAAATTAAGAGAAAAGGGAAAATAAATCAAATCAGAAGAGTAAATAGTCATTGAACTCCCATGTTGTATAGGGCACAATGCATGCCAGGTGCTTGAAAAATGATGTTGATTTTTTTAGAGTTGATGAATATAACTCATTTCATTTAGCATGGCTAAGCCTCATACTCTGTCTTGTTACTCAATCTTATACTTAAAGCAGAAGTTGAGTAGGGGACTCATAAGAAGTAAGGAAAACAAGTAGGGCTATGAGATTTCTTTTCCTTAAGTTTTCTTAATTCTTTTCTTAACTTTTAAAATTTAAAAGTTAAAGGTAATACATGCTCCCTGTTTATTTGCCCTTTTTTTCCCTCTAAAGAAAGTACAAAATAACCATACACACATAAAATCTCTAATCCTGCCATACAGAGACGTACACTGTAAAATATGGGGGTATATTCTTTTTGTCATTTTTTTGCCTCTATTATTGTAGGATTGGGATCAATTTTTTACTTCATAAAATATTGTAAACTTTTTTTTTAGACAGTCTCACTCTGTCGCCCAGGCTAGAGTGTAGTGGTGTGATCTCAGCTCACCGCAGCCTCAGTCTCCTGAGTTGCCAGGATTACAGAGGCATGTGCCACCATGCCCAGCTAATTTTTTGTATTTTTAGTGGAGACAGGGTTTCACTATGTTGGCCAGGCTGATCTCAGATTCTGGGCTTCAAGTGATCCCAAAGTGTTGGGATTACAGACGTGAGCCACCATGCCTGACTTGTAAACATTTTTTATGAGTCAAAGTTGTTGATTTTTTAATGATTGCATAATATTCTACCACCAAAATGTTTTTGATGAGTCTTCTAGTTTTAGATGTGTGTAGAGTGTTTCTAGTTTTGCTGTTTGTTTTACTGTGTCAGTATTTCTGCAGTAATTGATTGTAAGAATAAATCTTGGTGTGTCTCCCTGATAATTCTTTCAGAATAATCCGGAAAAATACAAAATTGTGTGTCAAACAATATGAATATTTTAAAGTCTTTTATAACATGCCTATCAATAATATATGAGTGCATATTTTATTGTACCTTTGCCCAAATTGAGAATTATTGTGCATTTTCAACCTTTTTTATAATTTTATTTTAAAATAATTATGTATCTGCATTAAAATAGAAAGAAATAGGCTTTTTTGCAACCACTGGTAGTATAAGTAGATTACCAGATGCATATCTCTCTCCAAATAAATGAATAGCATCAGAATGTTTAATCTTGATCACTTTTTATAGTCAATATGTACTTTTTCCAGATCAACTTAATTATACATTTTAAAACCTATTAATATTTCATATTTTGCATTCAAATGAAATTTTTTTCTTGCAGTATAGTAAACCAGGGAAAAAATGGAAGGTTATGACTCAGGAATTTATTAATCAGCACACAGTGGAACACAAAGGAAAACAGATCTGTAAATACTTCCTGGAAGGGAGATGTATTAAGGTAAATTTATAGGGGTATCATAAATCATTTTAACTTCCAAAATAATCTGTAAAATTAAAGTCTTTTGGGGGATGGCTAGTTTTTTTCTCCTCTCAATGTGGTTGTAATAAAACTGGGTCTTTAAAATGTATCTTGTATGGAAATACTGTACATTAAAGCTCATTTAATTATGTTCTGGGACAGTAACATAATTTGTTGAAATCAGATTTTATTTAAAAGACACATAATGCTATGTGGCAAGTACTGTTCAAAGTACAACTAATATTAAATGATTTAATCTTACAGTGACCTACAAAGTAGTTAATGTTATTATCTCCATTTTTTTCATGGCACTAAGAGCTTAAGTAAGTACCCATGGTAGCTCAACTGGAAATGGTGAGTGCTGGTTGAATTCAGACAGTATCCTCTGAGGTCTTGCTCACTGTGCTGTCTCAGTGCACATAGCTACATCCACTGTCTTGGGCAGGAATTCTAAGGGCTCATTTGAGTTATTATTTGTTCATTATTAAAGACTGCAGATAATGATCATAATTTTACCATGAGACACCATGGAGAAAATTCAGTTGTTGTTTCTTTGTTTCTCTTTGTTTCTTATCTTTTTTCTTTCTCTTTTTTTTCTTTTTATGAATAGGGAGATCAGTGTAAATTTGATCATGATGCAGAGTTGGAGAAAAGAAAAGAGATCTGCAAATTTTATTTACAAGGATATTGTACCAAAGGAGAGAACTGCATTTATATGCATAATATCCTTTATTTAAAATCTATGTTAAACAAAATGTGGGGATTTTAAAGCATCATTCAGGTTTTAAAAAATAATAAATACACCCTGGAAAACCTAGCCTGGTTTTAAACTTAACACATTACACAAACCCAGTCTAGTCAGAATTTGTACTTCAAAAGAGCAAACTGACTTTTATTCTTTGGGGAAATGAGATAACTGCCCTTCGGAAAAAATTCTGTGAAGTGAAGGTACTTTATATTTCATATAATCAGCTTAAAGTATTTCAAGAGACTGTGCTTCCTGAAGGAGTAGTTGGCAAAATACTTATTCCGTAATTATTTTACTTAAGTTCATGAATAATAAATTATCATTGTGAAAATTATAAAAGTCTTATCAAATCTTCCACTCAATGACAAATGCTGTATATTCTTCTCCACTCTCCCTTGGGAAATATATACATTTGAATAGTGTTCCTGCTCCTACCCAAATTGGAATTTCACTATATATAGTGTTCCTGTCCTTTTTTAAAAAAGTGTATTCTGCAATTTTTCATGTTAATTTCCCCTCAAATATCTATCAGGTTCCTCACTACCCCTTATTACTAATGAAGTTTTCCCCCATGGAATTGAAACTATCAGAAACAAAATGTTTATATATATGGATTTTTTTCTGGACTTCGTGTTTGGCTGCATAGATTTGTTCACCCTCATGTCAGTGTTGCTTTGCTGTGATTATTTCTGCCACAACAGCACACTGTGATATTTGGTAGATTTTCACGTTTATTTTTCCAGATAGATTTTTAAATTCTGATGGCATGTTCAAAAAATGTGAAAAAAAGAAAGTGAATAAAATGAAAAATGCCTGTTATCACAGATCTAAATGTTAGAAAATTGAACTATGCAATTACCAGAGGAATACATGATGAATTCCTTTATAACTCAGCAGAACAGAAAAATTTCCTGTGTCTCAAAATCCAGAGGGAAAAAGGAAATAGTTTGAAATTTTGACTCCATGAAAAAGCTTACAGTTGCAGAACAAATACATATAACATGAGCTAAACAAAAAGATAATAAAGCGGGAAAGATTATGTGTAATTTATATCACTTAGGAAGAGGTAAGAAAAATGAGGCAAGAGATACAGATAATTCCAGAAAGGGAAATGTAGATAGTCCCAAAACATATAGAAAGATGTTCAATATTCCTAATAAGTGAATGTAATTTAAGTTACATTGAGATAACATTTGCAGCTGTGTCAGGTTTGCAAAAATAAAAAAAACCATGACAGCAAAGTTTGTTAGTAAGGATGTGAGAAAATAGATACATTCATACCTTGTTGCTGGCAATGTCAAAATGGTGCATTTCTATGGAGGAGAGCTTGGCAATATCTGGCAAAATTACACATGCATTTACCCTTTAACCCAGCAATCTCATGTTTTGCCAATTCTTACCAATAGACCTGGGCAGTGATTACTGATGGCTTCTAAAATCATGAGGTGAAAAATTAATTAGTAATTTTACAATTGATGGAAGAAGTTGACAACATCTGAAAGAACTGATCAGTCTTAATATCACTAAAAAGAAACAACCAGATATTAAATGCCTTTTATGATACAGTAGAGAGTATTCAAATACCATCTATAAAAATTAACAATTAAAATTAAAATATTAAAATTAACAAATAATACAAAAATAAAAGGGAAAGGGGAACTTCTCCAGATCAATAAAAGTAACTTGAGAGGTAAATTAATTAGTTTCAATTTGTGAATCATCTTTGTGTCCTGATCTGAATAAAGGAATTACAAAAACGTTTTTTAAAAGTCTGGAAAATTTGTATATTGACTGGGTACTAGTTGAAATTAACATATTAATTTTGTCAGGTTGATAATGAAGTCGTGATTGGTAAGAAAAAGTATTCCTGGCCAGACATGGCAGCTCACATTTGTAATCCTAACACTGGGACGCCGAAGTGAGAGGATTGCTTGAGGCCAGGAGTTCGAGACCATCCTGGGTAATATAGTGAGACACCCCTCCTACCCCCATCTCTGTAAAAACTAATTTTAAGAGGAAAGGGTTCAGCTACGGTGGCTCATGCCTGTAATCCCAGCACTTTGGGAGGCCAAGGCGGGTGGATCACCTGAGGTCAGGAGTTTGAGACCTGCCTGGCCAACATGGTGAAATCCCATCTCTATTAAAAATACAAAAATAAGCTGGGTGTGGTGGTGTGTGCCTGTAATCCCAGCTACTTGGGAGGCTGAGGCAGGAGAATCACTTGAACCTGGGAGATGGAGGTTGCAGTGAGCTAAGATGGTGCCACTGCACTCCAGCCTGGGGGACAGAGCAAGACTCCATCTCAAAAACAAAACAAAAAAAAGGAAAGAAACAGTATCCCTTATCTGTTCAAAATAGGTATGGAAATATTTACAGCAAATGATGAAAGTTGTTGAACCTATGAGGTCAGCATGAGAGGGAGTTCATTTTATTATTCTCTCTACTTTGGTATGGTGAATAACCTTCAAACAAACTTGAAAAACAATTCTAAGTAATGTCAATCCTATAGAGATAACCATGTTTACCGTATGGCATAAAGCCTTTCAGACTTTTTCTATGCTATGGTATGTATGTATGAATGGATATGTATATGTTTATACACGTAATTTTTTACATAAATCTGTAATGATTGTGAGTATTGTACTTTTTTAACATTTACATTAATTCATATGGACTGTATTTTAATATACTATGTGTTATAGGGACCTAATTTTTTTTCCAGATGATTAACTCATTGTCTCATCTTTACTGATTTAAAATTGCATTTTTTTCCAGACCCTAAATTCTCATTTTTACACAGTTCTGCTTCCATACTACTATTATCTATTGTGTTATTTGATTATTCCCCTCTGTAAGAATATGTTTGATATTTGGTAAGGCATATATGCCTTCCTTCTTTATAAAAAATGTTGTAATATTCTCAGGTGAGAAGTGATTTGGCAAATAAAAATAAAAACAAGATGTTGTAATAAATTTGTCCTATTCAAGAAAAATAATTTTTTTTGGATTTGACATATTTCTTTAGAAGACAAATACTTTTTTGAATTCTGTATCCGAAAGCTTTCAGTCTATTCTTACGGAGTTTTTGTTACATAGTCATGCTGTTTATAAATAATAATTTTACTTCGTTTACAATATTCATACCTTTAATTTTAATTGTATTGGCTACATTTCCAGAAATATTAAATAGTAGCGATTGTGGCAGACATAAACATGTTTTAATGATAATGCCTTTTTGTTTTAGCTTGTGGCTGCAGGTTTAAAGTAGGCTTTTAACAATCAAAGTATACTTTTACTAAGAGGATTTTAAATCTAAAAAGAATTTTGAATTTTAGCATTTTCCTTTTGCATCTGCCAAAATGATCATAGGATTTTTTTTGACCTCATCAGTGTTTACAGTAATAAATTTCCTAAACACATTCGGCTGTTCCCTGAGCACAAACCACCTGAGAGTGGTATATTTTTCACTATACTTCTAGATTTAGTATTTTCTTTACAACTTTGTCTCCAAAATCTTAAGATTAGTCTGTAGTTTATTACTGGAATATTTGCCTTTAACATAACATATAAAGCCTCTTAATTTTCTTTGTAAATATAAGTCTTTTTTTTTTTTTTTTTTTTTTTTTT